TATCCTAGACAAATTTAAAATTTCCTGTAATATTTTTCTTTGAAAATTCATCTTTAGTTACATACTGTTACATATAAATGAGGGCCTCTTGAACAATAAATTTTCACTAAAAATCCTAAAAAACAAATTATGCAACAATGATAAAGAACATATCAGTGAAATCTGCTATTGAATAAGTATTTGACCCCTAATAGCTTGGAGACTGTATGATTGTTAACAATGCAATGAGGTTAATGAAAACAGGTGTAAACGATCAATCAATTAATTCACTAACTTGTTGACTGGTCCATAAGTGATTATTTAGGCCAGTTCTTAGGAACATACAACTGAGAAATCAGTACAAGTGGCGTATTTGGTGAAACCTCAAAAACTAGGCCTGACTTGAGAACCACTTTGATTAAGACGTTTAAAGATTGTAATGGTGCCAAGAAGATTGCTCCTTCATATCCATTTAGTGTCTGTTTCTCGGGGTAACTGCAGGGTGCTCCCCGCACGGGATCCAAGGTCCTTTAGAGGACTAATAGCTTAGACTTAACGAAACGCTTCTCTTTAAACTGAAACGAAATCCCCAAAAACGCTAGGAAAAAACTTGCATTTCCTCACTCAAAGAGCTGGAACCGGACTTTGAGCCCCTAATGGTGTTGTACGGCTGAAGGACCGTGCTTTCCGTATAATTTAATTTACTCTGATCTAAACTTTTACCTAATAACTGCACAACTGACTATCTTTGAACGGGGTTCCCTCCAAAACCCAGCTGTGTTGCATTGTGTCAAAGCAGCTGGTCCCTGGTCTTTTCCCAGCTGGCGATGACAGCTGCTAAATGTGACTCCGCTTACAAAACTTTACATCGTAGCTACCGGGACCAAATTATATGTAAATAGTTTATTAAACAAATTTGCACTAGCAAAGAATTTTCATGACAATAGCAATAAATCTTTGAGTGTGGAGCGCAGTTTCACAGCAAATAGATGCCGCATTTCTTTTCACCTAAGTTTTCTCGTTAATTTATCATACATTTTAAACAACATTCCTTTTGTAATAATTAGATAAAATAATCTTACCAGTCTTCCATGATGTTGAAAAACGGCAGGCTGGACAGATTCATGTGGGCTCCCGCTTTGGGTTTTAATTTTTATTGACTGCTAGCCAATCGAGTGTGAAGGAAAGCAACCAATGAAAATACGATGGAACACAGCAAACAGCCAATAACAACGCTAAGCTTCAGACAGGTGCGGAGCCAGCAGTTGTGACTTGTCTGCCACAGACCTAGATTTAGTACTACCGTAATTTCTGCTATTAAAATTCAGTAACACTAATATCACTCATACGTCTATATTAGGTCACACATACTAGGCAGCTTTAAAAAACATCGCGGGAAAATCGCAAACAGGTCGTCATTGCTGCAGATCCAAAACTGACCTCACATATATGTCTTGACAATTAGCAAGCGACTTGAGTATTATCTCGTTTAGACGTAACTTGTGTACGTCGGGAAGACGCTGGCCAGACGTATGTGTGCTTTGTGGGTACTATTGTGTACTAGTAATATAATAATACCATATTACCACCAATTATTCAGCCATCCAACCGATTTTTTAGTGAGGGTCAGAGTTGGGGGAAACCTGGCTAAGACAACATAGACCACAAAGCTGGGGTACTATATGGAGGGCTAAGAGTGCCAAAATTAAATAAATAGTGAAATAATTGTAAATGACACATGTAATTCATTAATAATGATTTTATTTCTAATGGTAGATAATAATTCATGGCACATTTAATTAATGATATTTTTATTTCCCATTTTAAATAATTCATGACACATTTAAGTAATAGTTTCTCTTTATATTTCCCATTTTAAACAATTCATGGCACATTTAATTAATTAATTATTGGTGTATTTCTTTATTTAATTTTGGCACTCTTAGCCCTCCATAGGGTACACCCTGGATTATTATTATTATTATTATTATTATTAGTAGTAGTAGTAGTAGTAGTAGTAGTAGTAGTAGTAGTAGTAGTAGTAGTAGTAGTAGTAGTAGTAGTAGTAGTAGTAGTAATAATAATGAGAGGCCCCAGGTCGAGTAATATATGTGTGTGCGCCTTTAAGAAGGGACCGACAGCATGCATGACGAGGCGCAGGCAGGAAGTTCGACCTAGAGCAGGCGGTGACTCTGTCTGTATTCTGGTACAACTGATCTAAACCAACGGAGGTTAAACTATTTTTATTTGCTATAACGCGGTCTTGTGAGTGATACAGATGTCTGCAGAATAATAGTGAGGGGGATGAAGGATTACACACATACATGTATGTGATTCCACCCACATGGAATTGTCCAGAACCGAGGGTTATACGTGCAGCATTACGCGAAAGTTAGACACACGCAGCTACTTGCAATGACAACACGTGGCGTTTCTTATCCCTCAGCTAGTGCTCCGAATTGATGTATTCTCGTTAACCACTTTACCTCTGCGTGTGTAGCCACTCATACTCATTCATCATGTCAACCGACCCATTGATCCACAAACTCTGCAGCATATTTGACCAATTTAAAGATGTATCTGTTGTCTTTGAGCTTTTCCAGTAAAATGGGAATCGAGAGGCACGAATTAGGCTTGAGTTAGGCTTCAGCACTTCTAATATGTAATGTTGGGTGGATGCAGTCAGAGTTTTGCTGTAATTTCTTATGAAGATAGTCATTTTCAAAGGAAAGGACCATACAACAATTACAATCATGTACTTTAAGTTGGCTGCTTTCAGTGGCAGAAGATTTTTGGTCAATCTAAAAAATATTGTAAAAAAAGTCAAAACACCTCATTCGGTAACCTTTAGATCAGCGTCCTTCCAGCCCTGTCAAAGGGGGTCCATGTTGATTCAGGTGCCTCTGGCTGGCTTGCTTTGTTGGGGCACAGTGAACATGGCCAGCTGCCATAAGGCACTGGCCTCTCAGCAGAGAAAGCCAAGGAAGTTTGTAGTTAAGGTGCGGATTGACCGGATAGGCTTTGCCTTGCGTGTGGGTCTCCGCGCCCTGGTCCTGCTACTGAAGTTCAGCCCACTACTGCTGTTGTACCCACTGTGCCTGGTCTCGTGGCGGCTTCGCGGGCTCTGGCTAGACGCCCTGCTCTGGATCACAGAAACCTCTGGGCCCACCTTCATCAAACTAGGCCAGTGGGCCAGCACCCGGCGTGACCTCTTCTCCCCGGAGTTCTGCGATTGCTTCTCCAAGCTGCATGTGCGTGTTCCTGCTCACCCCTGGACCCACACTCAGCGCTGCCTAAACCGGGCCTTTGGCGACACCTGGAGGCAGCTGTTCGTCTTTCAGAACCGGGAGCCTGTGGGCTCAGGCTGCGTGGCCCAGGTCTACAGGGCCATGGCCCGGGTGGACCGTGTGGAGGACCCAGCGTTCCACCAGTGGCTGGAGCAGCTGGAGGGGCAGGACCTTCTGGAAGCCTGGGAGATCCCTGGGCTCAGTGGAGTGCTGGCGCTCCTTTGGGGGCGTGGAAGGGATGAGGGGGATGAGATCAGAGAAGCAGAGGCCCAAAGTGGGCAAGGAGAACAGGGACCCGGCCTGGCTGGAAACCCTCTTATGCCAGTGGCTATCAAGGTGTGTATTCATTTAATCAAGAGATCATGTTGAGCAGCTGAAGTCTGGCAGCATAACTTTGGGGACACAGGTTAGATAGAAGATAGGGTAAGGGAGAACTTTGTTGATCCCAGGGTGAAATTTAAGGGATCTGTGAGTACGTAGGACTGATCTAGGAGCACTAGCCATGGAACAACACTGAGTAGTTGTACTTAGGGAGGTGCTAATTAGTGATGGTTAGACAGTTTAGGTCTAGGATTATTGTTTAGTCACTGTGTGCTGCAGTCGGCTGTTGGCAGCATGTGTCAGCTCCAGAGTTTCACTTACCCTTAGTTTAAACATTTACTATTGTTATTCTGTCTCTAAGGTATGGTGAGTGTTATTGTGTGGTGGAAAAGGCTGTGTGCCAAATGATCTGATGAGCCCCTGTCTCCTTATGCAGGTGCTCCACCCAGGCATCAAGAGCCGGGTGCAGGTGGACTTGCTCCTCATGCATGTGGCCAGCCGACTTCTCTCACTCCTTCCAGGACTTAGGTGGCTCAGCCTGCCAGAGGTGGTGCAGGAGTTTGAGAAGCTGATGACCAAGCAGGTGAGCAGCATTTTGTGCTCCCAGTTCATTCTGGACATAAATGCTCCTTTTTCATTTTTACTCGTGAGATGAATCTGGCAGATTCCTTCCCTCTGGTCAGATTGACCTTCGGTATGAGGCAGAAAACTTTGAGCGATTCCAAGCCAACTTTCAAAATGTGGATGCAGTGAGGTTCCCGACACCCCTGAGGCCATTTGTCACAAGGGACGTTTTGGTGGAAACGTTTGAGGTGAGTGTGAAAACTAGTTACCTCCAAAGCTTCATCATTATGGAGTTTTGGATTGTCAGTAAAATTATTTTCACAGGCCTGCTTTTGTACTCATGTGAAGGAGCTTAAACGATTCTTTGATATCTTATATTTACCTCCATATGACGCAAATAATGTTGAATATCTTGTAAAAATTGCATTTCAAGGTCTGGAATATATTAGACAGTAAGTCAGCATTTGGTACTCGTAGATGACGTGTTTAATGCAGATGAAATGGGCTGAGAGAAAGGCCTAAGTGATTTTGGGCGCTTTTTCACTGCACCAGGTATTATAATTTTGGTACTTGATGAGAGTGCCAAAAATACGGTACTTCAAGGTGTTGGTTTTCCACTGGTGTAAAAACTGGTACTGGCACCGAATGACAGTATTTATGCAAATACCTTTTTTTTCTCAATAAGCATAATCAGGTTTTCATTCATGAAATTTGTTTTGCTGAGTGTTGATGGTTTCTGGAGTTATAACTTGGACGGCACATTGAATGGCATCCCACAGCTCTGACATACTTGTATTGCTTCCCACCCTTGTAAAGCTCAAAATCACAGACCTTGACATGCACCGTTTTTATGATATATTCAGCATTATTTGGTTTACATGGAGGTAGTGTTTTAACTTATTGATGTGTATACAGGCAGTCCCCAGGTTAAGAATGTCCGACTTATGGACAAACTCATGCTTATGAACGGGATGCCATCATATAAAAAATTTGGGTTAATAATGAATGTGTGTTCTACTTTGTGACATTCATGAAAACATTGTGCAACTTCAGTGGGTTATTGCTTCAAGGTACGGTACCGCATGTAGTTATTACTGTATGATTATTCTTCTGTAGTGTAATTATTATTAACTGGCCTACAAATTTAACTTAAAGACAGACTCGTTCATAACCTGGGGACTGCCTGTATTACTGCAACCACTCAGTTTAGGACCCTTTCTAATAGTTACAACATCAAGGCTCTTCCTGGGATATGAAGTACCAACCATCATATGACAAATTTTAATTAGTACTCTAACAGTGGCCCCCCTGGACTATTACCGCTTTACCTAGTGGATCCCTGGAGGAGAACCATCAATGGATGACCTGCAATCAGGTGATGTTGGCCTTCACAGTGCAATTACTGTCACAGGAGAGCAAGCCCATTTCAAGCTTCCTGGGTCAGGAGGTGCCAGAGGATGTCAAGCGGAAGATAGCCCGGATGGGAGTCGATGCCCTCCTGAAGATGGTGAGCTGGACGGACCCGGGGGCAGATGCCTCAAAGGGGAGGTGAATTACTTTGGAACCATCTGTCTTTTCCCAGGTGTTTGTGGATAACTTTGTACATGGGGACCTACACCCAGGGAACATCCTGGTACAGGGCGATGGGGGACCGCCTCCCCCAGGCGCGATGGCACTGACGGATCTGTGCGACACGGTGGTGGTGACCGTGAGGCCATCCGGGCCACCCATGCGCCTGGTTCTGCTGGATGCTGGCATTGTCGCACGGCTCTCAGACGGGGACCTTCGCAACTTCCGCGCCGTTTTCACGGCCGTGGTGCACCGTCAGGTGAGTCTCTAGGATGAGAACGGTCAGGACAGTCTTGGCTGAGCCTGTGTTCCTAATAACACTCCCCGTGCACCGTCCGCAGGGAGAGAAGGTGGCTGAGCTGATTCTTACCCACGCCAGGGCGAGCGAGTGCACCGATGTTCCCAGGTTCAAACAGGAGATGGCAGCACTGGTGAACGAGGCCCTTAGCCACACACTTTCTCTAGGGAAGGTACCGCTCTGCTCCTTCAGCTTTTATCCACAAAACACCTGCTCCCCATACCCAGTGGATCTCAGCTCATTTCCTTGCTAATTTAACATCCACCAGATATTTAACAGCTTCATGAGTGAATCGATAGCTAAATGTGAAGATCGAAGAAACTCAACGACAAGATCCTATTCTTGGTTTGTGTGCAGGCTTTCAGTCTACCTCAGTTTTTTCATGTGTGGTTCATGTTTACTTCCACACATGTTGTTGTGCCAAGTTTACCAGTTTAGACTTCTCTCTGTACTGAAGTTGATGGCAAAAGGATACTAGAAAAGACAGTAGTGGGTGCGTAATTGTATATTATTAGTAAATTAAGAATGTGTAAATGCTGATGTGTAAACTCACCAATAGTCCTGGTGTTTGGCTGAGTGCTGTGGTCACCGCAGAACCAGCTTGTATTAGCAACTCATTACAGCTGCACGCTTTCAGCATTTAGTGCCTTGTCAGAAACTGAGCATTTTTAGTGTTAGTGCCTCGATAGAACTGAGTGCTTCCCATGTTAGCGCCTTGTCTCACTAGAACTGTGCGCTTTCCGTGTAAGCACCTCACAAGAACTGAGTCCATTCAGCATTAGCACCTTGCTAGAACTGAGCATTTCCATCACTAACACTTCGCAATTCAGTGCTGATGATGCAAACTGACCCATGCTTGTCTGCTTTTCAAGGTGCAAGTGGGTGATCTGCTCTCCAGAGTTTTTAAGCTGTTGATGGCCCACAAGGTAAATTAATGTGGTAACCAGCCCAAGATATAACCACCATGTTTTATGAAGCAGATTGAGATGGCACTGTATCCCATTTCCTTTTCTACTCATGTCCAGCAGAGGGAGCCAATGCTTGAAACCATGCAGTGTGTCTGAAATGCCTTGAATGAGGGCTAGATGCAGTTTCACTTTTCTCTTTTTTTGGGTCTTATAGGTGAAGCTGGAAAGCAACTTTGCCTCCATTGTGTTTGCCATCATAGTGTTGGAAGGGTTGGGGAGGTCCCTGGATCCCACCCTGGATATCCTGGAGATCGCTAAGCCTCTGCTCCTGAGGAATGCTACTTCTCTCATCTGATGTCCCTCCGTGCCATGCAGCTCATTGGCTCAGACGGCGTGTGCTACTTTAGCCAACGATATCCGGTGTTTGGATAGTGATGAACCCTGTCCTAACGTTCAGACTGTGAGTTATTAAAAACAGAGTTCAGGATATTAAGTGACCAAATAATGATTGTCAGGACTAAAATGTTAACAGTAATACTGCCCTGCAAATCTATGCACAGAACATGGGCCCACTGCAGAAGACAGCTATACTGAGTTTATATCCTCTATCGTCTCTTAATGTCTGTGCATTTACACCGAAGGTGCAGTTAATTACCTTCATGACTCAGTACAAACCTGAGCAAACTATCTCAGGAAATAGGGGTTTACTTTTATCAAAATTTCATTAGACCAGTTAAAATGTTTCAGACCAGTGTTTAATATTGAAGTGCACATCCTTTAAGAATTCCAGTAATCACAAGCTCATGGTTACATGCTTTGAAATCACTGAAATTCATTCTGAAATCTAGCATATTTACTCTTGTGTTATTGTCTTTATCATAATCGTAAATCATCTTATGCTGATCTCATTGTTGAAAGGAAGGTTTTGAAAATCTGTGATTTAAACATTGATTTTTCTGTGTGAAACCATATCCTCACATTATCAGTTCAGTCATGGCCTTAGTCTCAGAAGACGGTTATGGTGACCCCCATTAGTGCATGTTGTCAAAAACTGTGATGGGTCGGTTTATCATACACCGTTAGGCAGTGATTGGATGACCCTACTTCCTGTTTGTTCCTTGGAGGATTCTTATTGGGTGAAACCTGCCAGTGAGTTACAGAACACAGTAATGCTGCCCACTACCGTTTCTGAATACAGTAACTCTGCCCACCATGGGCTCAGAAGTTCTATTTTCTCTCTGTCATTAGTGATAAGATGAAGCACGCTGGAAAGGGAAAACCATGCCTGAGGGAAATTAAATAGATAAAATTAGTACTTCAGTAGATGGAGATGATGCAGAATGTACATGAATGAGCAAAAGAGGGAAGTCATACTTTGACTATGAGGCACAAAGGCTGAAGCTAGTAGTTTGAACATTTCGAGTTTTATTAAATCTCTTAATGTGAAACAGGACATTCCTCTGACGCATGGAAGAACAGTCAGCATGGCTGAAAGAGTGATCCAGGGGCTTCTGGTGCAAAATGTCATGGTCAGAACTACTGTTATTGCAAAAATGTTGAACTGATTTCACCAGCATCACATACATCCAAGAGCAGCACTGTTCATGTAAGACTAGGGTGGAGGTAAAGACTACAAAAAAATAATAAAATAATTGGGGGAAAAAAAGATGAAGAGAAACATCTAATGAGCAAACACAATCACCTCAACACTAACAAGATTTGATCACTGCCAAAACACCAGTGATTTTCCTACTTTATTTTGATAAAGGTATTGAGGTTTATTAACAAAAGAGCAAGTTGACATCTACTTGGTATTTATTGTGAAAATAGGCAATTTACTAATGGGTGTGAGCAGGGGGAGGAGGAGTGATGTGGTCTGGGGTCCTTGGAATGACCACAAAACCAGGCTTCCTCCAATATGACAAGAAGCATGGGATCTGTCCATGTCTGTGCCCCTCTGCCATTGAAACAGAAGAGCCCTCAATATGGGTATGTGTGCAAACTCCTTTTTAAACACCAGTTCTGGAAATGGCAGCTGGGAGAACAAGCAACCAGACAGTTTAGAAGACAGTACTAGAAAAGTGATGGAACAGGCAGTGCGGAGGATGCCATCTTGGTGAAGGACCTCATAGAATGTCTTCACAGGAGGCGAGACTTCCCAATGGATGAATGGCACAAACAAAACACTGAGAGAACAAATGAAATTTGTCAACACAACTGAATAACATGTTCTTCACATTTTTAAAAATGTCAGACTGTACCTGCTGTCACACTCGTTTTTGAAAGCTTCTCAGAACAGGAAGATCAGTCTCCTGTCACACTGGCAGCGGCTACAGTACCCCCTGTTGAAGGATAGCAGAATGTCGCAGGCAGTTCTGAGTCTGCTGTGTAAACACCCTGTGGGAAGGCTCTTGGCACCACTGGGAGAGGGGGTACTTTGTCAAGGGTCTGCGGCTCCATAGAAGGTCAGGAATAAGTCTGGTGGGGCAGAGCCTAAGTTTTGAAGGCTTCCCACCAATAAAGATTTTATTTTGTTTGAGCAGCAAACTCAAAAGATGTCCTGGCTGTGTAAAAAGAGGTATACTATTTGAAACTAGACACAAGGATTGGCCAAATCGAAATGAGGTGAGGAAGGGGGCAGACATCAATTCCTCTTGTCCAAGAGCTCAGAGGCAAATTGGTCCAGTCCACAAAGTCAAGGAGATCAGGAGAGTTTGACTTCTAATTCCTGACTAAAGCCTTCTAGCAGTGCTCCCCATACCTGCAGCTTCCCTTGCTGGCTGGGAGGTCTGTCCATAGGACTGGCAAGTATTTGCTACTGTCTGCCAGTAAAGATGTCTTGGAAGACACAATCATGTTTATCATAGCAACACTCCTGCTCCCCTAACTGTAAAACCTCCTGTAAAACTACTTTGGCTGGAAAACATGCTGTAAACACCAGCAGTCCAATGTCCACCACAGGCTCACATACTGACACGTACAGACGTGCTATGTTGGGGGGTGGGGGACAGCATGCGTGACTTATGGGTCACTGGCACACGGAGGAAAACAGGAATGGGCAGAGCTGTTCTCCTGTTGGTCACATGGTGGGCCTGTGGGTGGACCGCTCCTGTGATGGGCAGGGTGGTGTGGCCAATTGGCCACGCCCTTAACAGCCACACCTCTACAACAGGGGCAGAGTCACAAAGCTGCACTTATGTGCTGTGCTAGTCTCTGTGAATGGGGTCTATTCAACGCTCCATCTGGAACAGGGCTAGGGCAGACCACACCCACCAGTCCCGTCCCCCACCCTCCTCTGGCCCACATGAGGGGCAGCAGTTTCGAAGCCTACCCACAGAGGGGTGGAGCACCGCTACGAGGTGAGCCAGGGGTGCATGAGGCACTCCCCAGCAGTGGCTCTTTTCTCCGGGACCATCTCCAGCATGGGCAGGATGAAGTGGGTGAAGTGGGCCGCATCTTCGTGGGCCCAGCCATACTTCTCCACCAGCACATCAAACAATGACCAGGGTTTCAGCTTGGTGATGTGCCTCAGCTCCCCTGCAGATGGCAGCACACAGAAGCAAGTAGAGACTCGCGTTAAAGCCAATGGAGTTAAAGCCAACAATAAAACAAAAGCTATAACAACAGAGATACTAAACAATGGTAAGTGTCACATATTCACAGTAACAATACATCACAGGGAGAAACATAAACCAGTAGTCACAGCAGAAGCTTCCAGTTATTTAGATGCTAAATGGAATGGATGGATACACCAGTCTGGCTACAAAGCAATGTGGAAAGCCATCAGAAATCAAGCAAAATTCTTTATATCAAACCCAGAAAGCTGTGTGTGTCTGTGTGTGTGTCTATTTCCATATGATTTTCAGAGGAAACAAGTGTGAATATGAATCAGCCAGCTGTGTCAGTGTGTAACAATGTTTACTGTGTTACTGTAATGTAGATTGTTAGTGTGACAGTGCCCTCCCCCCAGCATTACCTCTCATAGTTAAGAATTTGTGGTGGTTACTGGCAGAGATAATTTTTTGTAGCAGCTCCGTGATCAGAGCAATGTGGTCTGGGGCTCATGGGCCAGTGTCGACACAGCTCATGTGACGGATCATGCCGGTACATGACATGATGGGTACTGTGATGTCAGCAATACGGACATGAAGGGCCCAGTGGACACCCTTAGCCAAAGGCACAGGCCATTACCCTCTTCATTATATAAACTGCTATTCGATCCAATGCATTCTCAATATATACAGACAATGTCACCGATAATATGTCATTAAATGGTAAAACTGATGCACTTTACATTATCTAGTAATGAATGTTTTTTTCTTAAATTTAAGTTTCAGGTTGCATGCTTGTCAAAGAATGTCCACCAGTCCTGTCCAGCTCTGTGCCTGCACTACCTCTCCGGTTGAAGAATTCCCGGGAATATTTTCCGGAAAGTGCAAATTGTCTTGGGATGCAGCCCAACAGCTCAATGATGTGAGCTATGTGGTCTACAGGAGAAAAGGCAGGAGAAAAAAGTGTTAGTGACACAATCAACCAGCAGTGTGCACTGGAGCAAAGGAACCAGGCAGGAGTAAAATCTCACAAGTCAAGCTCCGGAATAGCACTGTTCACGGAAGAGCATTGGGTGTTACAGTTGAGAACATAAGGGCATTTTACGGCATCAATACTACATCTCATTTTCACTAAATCTTAGAACAAGCTATCAATATTGCTACTTGAAGGCTGAAGATACCCTTGAGATCTTTGGTACCTCTTTTCCACCAGTACTGTGCCAGTGAGCCTGCTGGTGCTGACAGGGACCTGGTTCTCAGGTGGTGCTGAAGTGGCATGACCTGAGAACTGTCCCACATTTCCACTAGTTAAAAAAAACATTAAGAGATAACCTGTTCTTTTCAGTGATTCTGTCGAATTGGTTTTCTAATTTAAAAATCAAACTTTTTCTAAATATATTTGTCAAATTATATGAAAACACACAACAACCTTTTTAAAATAGTTTAAAAAGTTACATTTGCTTTTCGTAGACTGTCTGGAGCCATGTTGCCTTCAGAGCCCCTTCACATCCGTTTATTTGTGCTGTGTGCATGTTAGCGAGTTCCGCACACTTGGATGAAGTGATTACTAGGCAATTCTCGTGAGACTGATAAGACCCATAGGAGTTGTTTATGATATAATTAATTAATTTATTATTATTTTTTATTATTTAAAATGTATATAATTTCTTTATTGGCTGCTGGTATCAATTTTTATTATTAGATTTCAGTGTTTCCCCTAGGTTTACAGTTTTTGGGGGGGAGGGGGGCAGAGAGATGCACGGTCTCTGTCCGCTGGTGGAAGTGTGCTCACCTGTGTGTGCGTGCACGTGTTTGTGCATGTGCATTGGGGCAGAACTCCGCCATACGCAATACAGAGAGCAGAGGAGAATTGTAATCGCGCGACCGTGTAGAGACAAAAATTAAAAGCTGTTGTGTAAATAAGATAAATAACATATGGCTATTTCGTTTGTTTAATAAAAGGACAATATATAGATCTGTTCTATAGGAAAGGTAACCTTAAATGACTCCTGTTGTAATATTACTGTATACATGTATATAGCTGAGATGACAATAAAGTTCACTTTGACTTTGACTTGATCTGGCGCTATATAGATAAAAATTAAATAAAATTAATTTGACCTTCAAGGGGGGGCGGGAGGTGCTGTTGGGGGGACGGGGCACTCCCCTAATATAATGGTAGGGGAAACACTGGATTTATTTTGTTTGGTGTGAGTTACTACGTTTTTTACCCATTGAACATGTGTATTTTAGTATGCAATTTTAGTGAATGTAAGGTTATTCAGGAATGAATTAGTGGCATTGTAGCAGGACTGACTGTATATCATCATCTCGAACAAGCAAGCACCAATTTTCAATTTTGTGTACCTGTGTTTCAGTCTTCACATTGGGGGCTGGCTACCAACATGAATACAGACCAGTGGAGCACTTCCAAACTTTATCTGTCCTGCACCATTTTTTAATTTGTTAATAATTTGCTCCATATTACGAATGCAGCCTGTATTTTTCTGCTCTACTTCAATTTCTCCATTAACTATTCTAAAACAATTTTCTGAAGTATATTGAACTTATGGTGATGACCAGATTGCCAATAAACCATTTGTCCCCTTTTTGTCCCCATTTGTCAACCATTAATTAAAATTTTCCCTGCTACCATCGATGTCTGTGGTCATGATTTCAGCAAATGAGACTCTGCTGAACTTGCATGCTGACATCAGAGGTTTCTAGTTTCAGACCAGCAATTCTGTGGACCAGGGTAGGAGACAGTTTTTGGGGACACCACCAATTAATTGGCAGTGACAATGCGTGGAACCAGTTCCGAATTAGGTATCAGCTCAGCACTGGCACCAGTACAGTGTTGCTGGAAAAGGGCTAAGGGAGTTTCATGTGAGAACTGTGTGATTAACAACAACTTACCTTCATCCCGGGAATAGTC